TTTGTGAAGGTGACCAGATCGAACTTGTTCAGCCCACCGTTTGGCAATACCCTTCAGATGTGAAACATGGGCCTTCTGGTCCTCGAGAGGCGCAAGCATTACTCCCAATGTCTTCTCTGCCTCCCCCAGCTCAAGGCGACGGAGATATTCCAATTTGCCGGACAAGCCCGGAATCTGAAGCCGGTGGTCCGGCAACAACTGATTCTTCTTCCTGAATGTCCATTGTCCCTCCCTGCCGTCCCAAGCAAAGTCGATCAACCACCAAAAGGACTTGTCCGGGTTGATCGCTCCACCGGTAGCGCTGATTCCTTCAGCCCACATGGACGCAGCCGCCTGGATCGATGGGCAGATGCCCTTGCCGGAGTGATTGACTGACGCCCCTGCCTCAATAACGTCCGTGTCGTCCACAAAACAGAAGCACTGAGCTGTGACCAAGTGAGAGTTGATCGCCGTGAGACACTCAAATCCAAAACCCATTGCCACCATCATTTGAATAGTAATAGAGCTGACCGAGACCCAGATGGGGGGACCAGCCCCATTGCCTTATCCGCACCCTTGGAAAGGAATCATTGACGGCGGTCGGAAGCTTGCTTCGGAATCTCCAAAGCCAGTTCGTATTCGATGTGTGGATGTTGCCAGCGTGTCAAACATCATCCGAAGTGCATTCCACGTTATGGCCAACCGCATCATGGCAACCACTGCCACCCAGTGAACTACCCAATCAAAGCATGACTTGGCATCGTTCAAAATCCACCCTGCCGATCGACGCTAAAGAATCAGGAGGTCCCACACCAGCCGCTTCGACAGGGCAAGATCGATCGCTTGATGGTGCTTTCGGGACCCGCATTGACAATCAGCAATCAGGTGATGTTCTTCGCCATAAGTCATGGCCAGACGGCCAAGTTGCTTATAATTGGCCTGGGATTCGGAGTTCATCAACTGAATTGTGCGCATTTTCTTCAAGCGAAACTCCCCGGGCTTCTTTTTGATGGCAAAGTTCATTAAATGTCGCCAGTTGTCAGGAACGAACCCAGTAGTTAGAGGGATATGCCGAAACAAGGCGTCACACTGGGCGACCATAGGGGAGAGAATCCCAGCTTTAAAGTGGCCATTATGCAGGCCATGAGGCTCAGAGCCCTTGTGTTCCGGATTCCGAGACAGAAGTAGGTGTGATCTTCAGTAGAAACCTCCAGAGGAGACATAGAATGATCTTTGTGGAACCTGCACTGAGAAAGGAAAGACCGAGTTGGATAGTCAATGCCATCTGGTAGAGTAAGACGCCCTTCAAGAAGGGCGAGGGAGTTTTGTTCCGCGTCATGGCCATTAAACATTTGGTACAATGGAGCATCCATTGGAGGGGTCATATGAGGCAATCTGGTCTGATCATACCGTGCGCAATTCTCCTGCATGCACCCCTGTTCCACTTGACTCCTTTCAGAGACAGTCCGCAAGCCCACTTCGCCTGAAGGCAGCCTTTCTTTGACTTGGATCGCGTGTAACCCCCCAGTAGATCCTTTTCCCTTAGCGCGGCGTTGGCGTCTCGCCTCCACCCGTTGCTTCATCCGCCGTAACCGCAAGAAACGGTCTGTGGCCTTTCGCGACCGCCATTGTTTCTTTTTGGACTTTGCCGCCTGCACCGTCAAAAAGTCCTTGCGCCACTTCGCAGCATAATGCGGCCTCTAATTCCGTTGTCGTCTTTGTCCACGCCTCCGGTATCCCAACCTTCTTCATCAGTCTGCGGATTTTACGCGAACTCACCCGGCAACCCTTCCTCCACGCGTCCGGTATCCCAACCTTCTTCATCAGTCTGCGGATTTTACGCGAACTCACCCGGCAACCCTTCCTCCCCTTCAAAAGGATCTTCCACAAGGATTGACGATCCCAAAACTGTTGCATCTTGGGAGACCAGGGCACCAATCCATTAGTGACCCGTCTACATTTTTCCTCCGCCTTTCGCCTGACAACATACATCTGATGGTGCAGGCAGTTATAATGACGACCCATTGTTGCTGTCATGGTCCCTTCATTTAGTTGTAGTTGGTGATGTAGGGACGCCAAGCGAGATGGGATGGAGTATTCCTCGTAGCCCTTGTGAACAAGTTGCAGGTAACGGCGGACTGCTGTAGTATCCAACATAGTAAGTTTGCGGGGTTTGTACGGGGTCTTCTGTGGTTTGTAACCGCCCAAAGATTTCTCCAGATCGATATCAATCCAAAGGCCACGATGGTCGCACGAGAAAAACTCATCAAAGTTGTAGTAGCCTCCAGCCTGTACAGCCACCCCAGAGGTCGTGAAAATGCCATCGATCGGTTTGCCCCTTTTGTTCCGGTGCTGAGTGGCAGCCGTTTGACCGGGGTGTCGTTGGAGGATAGCTTCCTCCATACAACATTGCGAAGGCGTTGTCGAAAAGAAGAGGACTTAGTGGAGCTGATGTCCTCATTGGCGTCGACCCCCAAAATTACTTCACATCCTTCATCGCGCCACTGGGTGATGGCTCGAAGGAGGTCCACCATAAAGGCCTCCCTTGGTTCACGCTGTTGACCTTGGGAGCGTAGACTCCCCAGTCCCCGGAGGGTTAGGTCGGTACGCGGACACCACAACCAAATCCCTAGAGAACCGACTCCTTGAAGCGTCGGAAGCATCGCGAACTTGATCGTCTGGTGTTGGCATTACAAACTTCTTGCCTTGGACGCGTACATATGCCCACTTGCCCAATTAAGTGGGGTCCCGACCAAAAGATTTTGCACGGTGGGCAACTGAGTTCAAGATAGTTGCCACACATCCACCGTACTGCGAGCACAAGGCGATGGGACGAGCTCGGTTCTCATTGTGCGCCGCGACCGAATAATATCCCTTAGATGCTACTTGTCGCATCCTATTGTTCCAGTGTTGACCTTCCAGAAGGGAAGGCCAGTGTGTGTTGGTCTCCGCCAACAACGCAATCCCCACTCGTTCTTCTTTCAACCACTGGTTAATCTGTTGTTGTTTCCATCCGGTCGCTAAGGCTGGAATGCCATCGGCGTTCTGAAAGACAAGGCGAGTGGACGACTGTAGATGACACTGTGATCGTCGCCAAAAAAATCACCAGGGGAAAGAGAACTTAGAAATTCCTCAACTGATGCATGGGGAACACCCGTCGAGGGGCCACTCGTTCTTGATCTTCTGCCTGCTCGCTGTGACCTAGCGGCAGACGATCGAGGGCCTCTCATTGCCCTGCCGTGGAGCGGGAAGCTCCACGGCCGGCCAATGATTTCTTCTTACCCTTCTTGCCCTTAACCGGGACGGAGGGAGGAGACTGTTGAGGGTGGAGGAAGATGGGAAAGACCGATGGGGTAGATGCATCGGATTGGCTCCCCGATCCTTGAGTGTCAGTCAAGGACGGAGTGATAGACTCTGCATTGGTACCACCGTCCCGCTTGGGAGGACATGCTGTAGGTGCCGTCCTCGGGGCTTGGTCCGGAGTCACCGACTTGACAAAGGATTTGGGGCGAGTGGCGGCATTCTGAGGTGGTAACATTGTCTTAGGCCCAGGTGGAGAAGGAGATCCCGGCAGTGGGGAGGTGAGGGGGCCTGCCGGAGTGGACGAGGAGTGTGGCTTTTCTGTGAGAGGAATATCCTCCTCCGTAGGCGACTTGGTGGAAGGCCCACTGTTGTCAAGCTGAGTTGGCTGATCTGTGCGGCTTGCTGATGGATGTTGGAGTAAGCGCATTGCGGCAAGTTCGCGCGCCAACTGTTCAGATCGTAATCGTTCAGCCTCCAAAGCAGAATTCTGTTTGGACAAGAGATTGTCCTTGAATTCAATCTCCATGATAGCAGCCTCCAGTTGACTATCCTTTTCCAACAACTCATCCATGGCATCAGCAACCGTAGCTCCATCGTCAATATCTTTAGCGTCCGCCATATCCATATCAAATTCCAACTTTGCTTCACCAACATCAAGAGGATCAGAGCCAAACCCATCCAGAAAATCGATATCTTCGTCAATGCCCTGCTGAGTTTGGTCGGCTGGTCGTGCCCGTAGAGTCTCCAAGCACCACACAAGTTCCTTGCGGCGTGTCGTATGGATGAGAGACTTAGGGAACCATTTGCCTAGAACTCTGTTGGATCGAGTAGTCGTTGATTTCCCCAAATGATGAGTGAAGAACGGAACCAGTCCTTTCAAAACGTTTGTTGCCAAGGCTGCGTACTTCAACCGGCTGATGAAGAGATAAGTCCCTTCCATTTCGCCAGGTAGAACCATGATGAACAGCGGGCTTGGGACATTATTCTCCAGGTCCATTTTTCGCTTCCTTTCCGACTCTCGGGCCCGGCGCTGTTGCGCTGGTGTCAGAACAGGGCCATCGTTCTCAAGAGACAGATGCTTGGAAGTTTTTGGGACCCTCTTCTTTATCTTTGTCTTCCCTTTGGTCGTCACTTTTGTAAACTTATGAGAGATGTCATCAAGGAGAGAATCGTCAGAGTCGGAGTCGGTGTCCACATCGGCCGCAGCAACTTTATCAGCGTGCAGTGGCCGTGCCTTGACCGAGAGGAACATGGACAAACAGGTGCAAGGGCCAAAATCCTTTGTGGTCGCCTGTTTAAGCATTCCTGGGATCTCGACTGGGCAGTACTTGGCCTGAGTAAGTTCAACAAAATCGTTGTGCTTCGAAATCATGGTCAGGTTCTCATCCTTCACTGGACCAACGGCCTTAACACTGACTATCCCATTTTGAGCTGCCTTCCAATCGCTGATGTAGTGGGTGACAGCGCACCACGGAAAATCTTTCTTTGGAGTCGAGGGGTGAAGCCACAGGCGTAATGCCCGGTCCACCCGCTTGGCGTGTCTTGCTCTCATGTAGACGTGCCACATCATGCACCCTGGTGCTCTTTCGTTCCACTTGCTGCGTCTGTTGTACGGAGTGTTGACCCATTTGTACCGTAGTCCAATGACGATATCCCAACCAAAATGAGGCATCAGTTCTTTCTCGATGGCCTTAATGTTGATCTCCTGAGGATAAAACTATAAGGCTCCAATCTTTACAATGTCGCCAAACTGGAGAACAGATGAGTAGCATCCGGCGCCACGTCCCTGGTGTTGCAATTCTCCGTGCAAATATTGCTGGATCGTCTCCGACAACACGTCAGCCTCGAAACCTACTCTCAGCCGTGTGCGTAGCTTCTTTTCTCCCGGCTTGTTCGACATAGACGCGTACGACATGTTGCCAAAAGACATATCGAGGTATCGTGACAACCCGCGGTAGTCAGGAATCAGCCGCCAAAGGTTGGCTTCATTGCGAATCCACATCTGCGTGTTCTTATACGTCCTGTCAGAAAGTGGTAGTATTCAAAAGGTCTCTTCTGTGTTCCTGAACGTGTCGGACAAGGTGTCCAAAATATGTTGCAGGATAATGGTCGCATGTGATTGGTTGCCATCCTGCTGACCTGAGTAACTGTAGACCATGCCCAACTCGACCAACATAGCCCTGCCTTCCATTCCGTCCAGGTCAACATTGCGCAGATCATTCAGGCGCTCTTCCAGCGTCAAAGTTCGTTGGGATTTCCGTTTAGCTCCGGGAGCGTTCCTTGTAGGCCTCGATAGCAGGTTTAGTAGACCTTGTCGCCGGATGCAGCCGCTTTCCACTGGGTCGGGAACATATGCTTGGGTCCGTTCCATCCATGTCCATTTTGGTAGCTTGTTCATCAATTGATACCCGTTGAGAGCGTCTTTTCTTTCTTGGCGGAGACGCTAATTCCGGGTCAGATTCATCACCTGTGTTTCCTGTCAATTCGGAGACTGTTTCATCAGTGATGGTGCGAGTCTCAGCGAGGTGACCTCTGCCGGATCGACTACCACCAGATTCATTGTCTGTCGGCCGAGTGCTTTCAACTATAATGACGGATTCCTCGGATGCCTCATCCTCATCATCATCATCAGCATCGTCGTCTGTCTTATTGTTAATTTCGCTGTCGTCATCGGTCTCATCTGAATCCAAGCCATTATCTTTGTCACCGATGGAAGCATCTTCTTCCGCGGAATCTTCATACTCCGGATCGAAAATCTTTCTGACACCCTTGTGGATTTCAATTTTGTCAACCGCGTCGTTTGGAAAGCCAGCGATGACTTTAGTCTTCATTTCCTGTATGCTGGCAACAGGATTTCTATGCAACAGCGATCGAACGAGACAGCTCCTCTGATGCTGGATCTTCAGACGAACTATTGCAGAGAAGTGGATTATTATCCAAAGACGGTCAGCAAAGCGCAGGATATGTTGAAAATTCACATGGAAGTGAGTAAAACTCCGGGAGTGAACCTCTGCCAAGGAAAAGACCAACCTAATAAAGGTAAAGGCAAAGGAAAAGGAAAGGGGAAACCGTCAGGTTGGGCGTACCTGTTAACCAAGCCATTATCTTTGTCACCGATTGAATCATCTTCTTCCTCGGAATCTTCATACTCCGGATGGAAAATCTTTCTGACACCCTTGTGGATTTCAACTTTGTCAACCGCGTCGTTCGGAAAGCCCGCGATGACTTTAGTCTTCATTTCCTGTGAGCATCTTACAGGAGTCACCTCTAGAAATTCGTCAAACTTCATAGTCCAAGGATGATCAAATATGGTAGCGCAGATCAACCAAAATTGTACCAAAGGTGTCTCTTGTCGTAAGCGAGGATTAGAATCGTCAGGACAGAAGTACAAGTCATCATGTTGAGGTACAAATCATCTTGTTGAATTGTCAAATCACCCAGAAGACCGATATCAAAGAAGGAGAAAGGAATTTGTTGGGCAACCTGTAGAGCGATCGCTCTCACTCCCCAGATATATTCCGTGTTCTTGTCGTCATCCTCAAAAATCGAAATCAAAAAGCCCAAAACGCGTTGCCAGTCGTTATCGTATTCGTCGAAAATCATATTGACTCAAACTTCGACGGAGAACTTAGCATAGAAGTCCTGGAAAGGGCTATCGAACCTGGGAAGGGCTTGAGACCAGCGGGCGTTGTGGTCGTCGATCCATTTCGTAAAAACGTGATTTCCAAATTCGATCTGAGTAGAGTTCTTGTCATAGCCGATAGCGACTAAATCTTGAGTGGAGAGCCCACAGTCAATCAGTGGGCGCACTGTGTCGATCACTTCTTGAGTTCCGGAATCGTTGGAGATCTTGGGATCTCTGTCTTTAGGTTGATGTAAATCAACAGAGGATGCATTTTCCAATTGTTTCTTTCCGCTCTTTTTGGAGGTAGAACCCGACTTAGATTTTGATCCGCCTGCCTTCTTAGCAGCCGTTGAAACAACCTTCAGAGATGTATACTTTCCCATTGTAGAACAGTGAAATGCCGTTGAATTGATAAAACTGCTGCGATTTCTACGTAGACTCTAGTACTTAGGCTACGAACACCATTTGCAAGTTCCGATCGATTCCGTGCTTTTCGTTTTCCGTTTTTCTTTTTCTATATCCCAACACACTCCTGCCATTGTGACAATCACCATTGGCAGCAAAGGGACATGCTCTCATTCACTGTTTATTTTGTTTTGTATTTTCATTTTGAACATATACATACTTGTCTGACCTAGTCCTGTGGACCAAGAATCAGATCCCTGAACTTGCGAAACTTTTCACCTTGCAATGGCTTAGTCATGAAATCCGCAATCATATCATCAGTTGGACAGTATTTGACCTTAAATTTTCCTTTCTCAACTTGATCTGTGATAAAGAAATAACGAATATTGATAGCTCGGCTTCTTTTGCCCGCGCTCTTGCGACCATTCTCTTCCAGTAGAACCGCGCTTTTATTATCCTGATACAAGATATTCTTCTTGATCGGATATCCTTGCCACTCCATGAACAACTTTGTCCATAGTATCATCGTGACAACATCGTCAACAGCAATCAGTTCCGCTTCCGTACTGCTTCTGCTGTTTAGCTTTTGTTTCTTCAACATCACTTGAGCTGCACCTCCTTTAAAGGACAGGGTGCCGCCAGTATGGCTCTTGAAATCTAGATAGACCGCAAATGATGCGTTGATCATCCATTTCATGACTCATAGTGATTCTGCGGAAAGTGTCTGGTGATACAACGATGTACAAAACAAATATCGCATCATGCGAACACACTTCTTCCAATCAGACTCTGTAGGTTCTCGAACTCTCAAGGCAAGAATAGTAATTGTTGGATGGTATTCGCGATATTCTGGGGCCATGTTAATCAATATCTGGACCATCACGGCAGTGATTTTCATCTTCTCCTTCCTTAGCTTCAGGCATATAAGTTTGAAAATCTGGATGCGTCGATCTGCGGAAAGTGTCAGGTGATACAACGATGTACAAAACAAATATCCCATCATGCGAACACACTTCTTCCAATCAGACTCTGTAGGTTCTCGAACTCTTGAGGCAAGAATAGTAGTCGTTGGATGGATATCCAAACGAGCTCTCTTAGAGACATAAAGCCCCCTTGCAACAGTAGTATGGAAGATTTGACGGTACTCAGCACTGAGTAACTTCCCTTTGCCAGAATCCAGTAAATCGTTACCAGCTGGTGTTTCCTGCTTTGAATCCTTGTTGAACTTGATAGGAAAATCTTCCATCATGTTTTTGACATAGTCGTCCATGGGGATCTTGAGTTTTCCTTTCACCAAGAAATCCAAAGTCATTCCAAGATATCTGTGTATCTTTCCTCTGATGATTGTACATGCCTTGATTGAACCATATCCCATGTTCAACCACTTTGTTAGAATAAAGCAAAATGTGCCCTATCATGAGTGCTTTTAGCGCTCAGAACAAACTCTCTGCAATCTAAATTCGTAATCGACTGTACAACACTTTCACAACAATAGTTCTCCTGTGTCTAGGTATACTTTGAGTCAAATTGTTCCTATTCCATTAATATTTGGCTTGAATTGATGATTCAATCACAAAAGTAAGTTCAACGATTTTCCCTTGGAAAATCCCTTGTTTACAGAACTTGATTTGGCCTCTACGACAATTCTGTGTTGGATGCAGTACTTTGGGACATCTTGTATTATTCCCTACTGCATTGTACACAACATCGATATCTCACTTGTATAGTGTCATTCCCTTTTTGTGTGGATGTAGATTGTCAGACGGACTTGCGTCCGGCATACTTGCGTTGAATCCCGACATCACGATCAAAATCCGATTGTACGTGTCAAAAACTCTGTACTTGAATAGTTTCTTTTTGGAACGTAAAAACTCATATTTCGTCATATCCCAACACACTTAGCAAATTTGTCACATAAGATCGTTAACATGAAATCTAATAGCCTCCTATTGCAATATCCCATATATAGCATGTAGTACCCGCACATAGGTTACTCGCAACGTATTCGCGATACTCTGGGGCCATGTCAATCAATATCTGGACCATCACGGAAGTGATTTTCATGTAGATACGATCTTCTCCTTCCTTAGCTTCAGGCATATAATTTTGAATGAAAGCGTTAGGCATGTCCATCGTCATTATATCTCTACCTTTTTGTGCATCAATAACACAAGTAGTGGTGATTGCTTCCTGCAAAGCAGTTGGACTTGCAGTGTCCTCTCGCGATAACCATTCACGAGTTCCATCGCCTCAGTATACTAGGCGACCTTTAATTGTCTTTTCAAATTGCTTGTAACATCATTGCTGATTTCTTTTGCTCAGAAGCTGTCATGTCTTTCACAAATTTGGGAGTGAAGCAATCTCTCAGGAGCATTTGTCTCAATTCCTTATCCACAGTATCCTTTCCATCATCACCAAACTTCTTCAGTCCTTGATTGATGTAATACTGTTGAATGAAGTTCAGACCTTTGTCAGTCTTAAACTTGGCCTTGATCTGCATCATGCAACAAGCGATCAGAATAGCATTGTGCTCTTCATAATCAGCTTTCATCTCAATCCCAATCTGTTGGAAACATAGATTGTGCTTTGCTTCAAGGATAGCTTTACTGTCTTTAGCACTGCAACTTGTTCTTCAACAGTTTCAATTCTCTCTCTCGATGCTTGCGTCTTGGCGCAACTTGATTCTTGTTCTTATTGGCAGAACTGCCACCCATGCTCGAAGGCCATTCTCTTGGTTTCTTTGGAACTTGAGAAAGGTTCAGCCCAGACATTGCCGCTTGTGCATACGTTTGCCCAGATTGAGTGACTTTTGCTACTTGAGACGTTTCAGGCTCAAATACAATCTCTTCTTCTGGCAGTTCTTATAGGTCCTCCAGATCAGTAAGGAGGCTCCCAATATCATTGGTTCCTCTATCGACATTTTCTTGATGGTGATCCAAATCGGCCACAATAGGTTCTTCCTCTTCATCGCCTTCATCACCCAGATCGTCGTCTGATTCATAGTCGTCATCTCCTTGGAATCTGACAGTGAGTTCTGGCATATCATCGACATCATTGTCTGCATCTGCCAAGAGCTCTTCTCTTTTGGAGTCATTGATATCATCGAATTGTCCATGTAGATTGAAATCACGTT